TAAGCACTACACTGCAACAGCTAACAGATAAGAGTGTTGTGTGTTTTATACTCTTCTCATATCCAAAACACAGCACTGTACCAGCTACTAGGAAGAAAATTAACTCTATCCCTGCCGAAACCAGGACAGCTAAGTAGCTCAAAACCAGAAGCAACGTAAGTAAACTGGGAGCAAAAGAGAAGAAAAAGGGATCATCATCCAACAGAAAGCAAAGGACTTCGTTCAGGATGTGAGATTGTAAACATCACTTCAAAAACAAAACACACTATCATTCTTAGCTGTCTTGTGGCAGTTTTAACATCTTAGACTAAAGATATGCAGTATCTTTTTTTCTTTCTTTCTTTGAGGGATTGTTCTGTTGTTTCAGCATGGCCAAATTAAAAAGTGTATTTTGTTTAAACACTAATCCCAGTTTACAAAGTATTTTGTGGATTTTTCTTTATCTTGTGATGGAAATTTGCAATTCATTGCTGCAAATTCCACTTTCCAAGCCATCTCTGATGATGAAAGTCTTCTAACAGCATCTTCTACTAGCTAGCACAGCAGTCTATCAGTTCTGTCTCACCCTTCACAGCAGTAGTGGCATCCACCTGTGATTCTTTACTAAATGTTTCTAAGTGATTTAACTAAGTAGTCTTTCTTTCCTTATGTGTGCCTTGCTACTTGTCGTCTTTTTTTTTTTTTTTTTTTTATTAAACTCTGTATGTGTGGGAAGAGAGAGTTTCACACTGGACGATGGAGAAAATAAAACGTTTAAAACTAATTCTTCCCCTGACACTCTGCAGCCTTTCAGCTACATCTGTCCCACAAGAGGTAGTCCTACCAAGATATAACCCTTACCAGCAACCTATTTTGTATCTTTGCTATCTAAGTGCAACTGCAGCTTTGTATAGTTTCTCTTCAAAACAGGTGACACTACCTAGGGGCACTCTGTTGATGTGATAGCTGCTTGAAAGACCTTTGATCACAGTTTCAGACACCGCAGACAGAGGACTAACATCTAAGATACATCCCGTCCCTTCGAAGTTCCAGTCAACTACTGCCCCTGCCAAATGGTATGTAACACCAAACTAACAAAAAAATCATCCCTAGGGAAGAATTCAAGACCACTTGAGATCATTTTGGTACTGAAAGACACCTCTAGCATTTCATCCTCTGATAAACAGGAAAAAGCCAAGAACCTGCAGAGGCAGTGCTCCCAGCACCCACCCCCCTCTTCACAAAAGGATTCATTCCATTAAACGTACATGAAATATGCATGACCATTCACACAAAGGGTAAGGCAAAACACATGTCCACTGAAATTTGTGAGAAATGGTTCATACTGCCATCTGCCCCTCTGAAAGAGAACTGATGTGAAAATAACCAGAAATGTCTTCTGGATACCAGTCTGAAAATACCTACTCTCTGCTCCAGAGACAAGAAGCAGAGAGGATACAAGATATGTTCTGCGACAGCTGTCAAATCCAAAACGTGCAGCAAAATGTCTTTATATAATAACTGATAAAAATATCAATACATTTTATGCATGGATATATTCTTTAGATGTCAGGAGGTTCTTTTCTATACAAAACCCACAATCAAATCCAAACTCTCATCTAAAATTTAACCAACAAATTTACTATCATTCTTTGGCATACAGAGAGGTCTTTAACCTAACTATGGCCCAGTAAGATTCAAGAAATGCAAGATGCATTACAACAAAATGAATTTGGCTTCCCAAGGAAAATATGACATAATTACACCAAAAATCTATAAATAAACAATGATGTCATACTAATTTTGCTATACACTTTCACAGGCATTTGTGTTGAAACTTGCACATGAGTAAACATTCTCCATCAAATCCTGGTGTAAGTAATGGTAGTGCAACAAAGAACAATCAATATCCTTGTATATTAGTATCCCTTTATCATCTGCTTACATAATTTGCTCAGACTGCAGCATAATCCATTTTACTTAACAATCAATTTATATCACAAATACATATATGGAAAACCCCCCACTTTAAATGGATTTCTACCTCATTAAACTCTTCTTAATGAGTCTGGGGATACAGCTTTAGAATAAATGAACAGAAGGTATTTTAAATAAAATTAGCTGAGTTCAAATAAAAACAGCTCATACTTAACAATACCCTACAGCTAGCAAAAATGAGCTAGCTTATGCACTAAGCACCTAGTGCAATTTCCTCTTCTTTCACAAATGTTTGCTAAGGAAAGAGCAACCTCACTGAACACTCATGCAGGAGAATGTTATTTTAAAATAACAGACAGAAGCCGAATGTATCCCTGTGTGTAACACTGGCTATTAATGAATGCATATTGCCCCTTGCTGTGCAACAGATAACTCCAGTAATCTTACTCTGTGATTGAGGCCAGGTAATAAATTTGGCTTCTTACCACGCTGCTATGTATTACATCTTTGTTAAAAAAAAAAAACATGGTTGTAAAAAATAAAAGCTTCAGTCTTAAAATGAATTCCGAGAGAGATCGAATTCTGCATCGCTCTGTCCTGACTTTGCTGCCAATGTTATTCAAAACTTCTATCTGTCAGAATTCACGGACGAGAGGAAGGCACAGCTCTTCTAATTTAGGAGCTGTTTGATGAGTATTAGGGTATGTAGCCAAAAACCTGAAAGACAGTAAGAGAAGCAGTTGCAATACTTTAACTTCTCCCATTAGATATGAAAGCTCATTTCAGAACTAAGCACTTCTTTTTCAGATCATGATTTTAATCCCTCGCTATCCAGATCCCTTTTAACTGCATTCTTCTGTTCCCTCTGCTCCAAAGCAGTACCATTGAAGAGAAATGCTCCGACTTGATAGGTTCACCTCAGTCACCTGAAACACAAACATGACTTGTTTTTAAAGAAGTGACAAACAATATTCAGATTAATAATTGTCTTACGTTTCCATGCAGAAACTACACAGCATACTATTCTTATCCCAAGCGTGCAACACTTCCCCACCAGAAGACAAGCAGATTTTTCATTTCTCATCAAAAGAGAAAACAAAAACCTGCTCCTTGCTAGCTGTAGGGCATGGGAAGTTGAACTGCAAAAATACTTTGTTTATTCCTTTCTAAAGCTTGTATCCTCACTGCTTGTCCCCTCCTTAGAGGTCACTGACGGATCACAAGCCCTGTTCCACCGTCTGTGAAAGGTATACAGTATTTGCTGATTTTTTCTTGCATTTTGAGCAAGGACTTTATCGCTTGCATGTGAAATAAGCCGCTTTTAAATATCTGCAGAGCAAAGTCGTTGCCGCCCTGCAGACCCCATCGTTAGACTCTCCCTTGGCGTCGGTTACAGGCCCGGTTTGCCGTGCCCGTTACTCCCCCTCAGGATGGCAGCGCCCGCCCCCCCTCCAGCTGCCTGCGGTCGCAGCCCGTGACCCGTGGGCTCCTCGGGACGGAGGCTGCTTCTGTGCCGGGGACGGGGTACCTAGCTCCATCGGGCACCGACGCGAGCAGCCTGCGGTGGCGGAAAGGCGTAACCCGGCGGCAGCGACCGGCCCAAGCACCGCGCACTTTTTTGGAGGCGGCGGCGGCTCGGGGGCCGCTCGGGGGCGGGCGGCAGGAAGACGGTGCTGCCTCTTGCGCGCAAGTGACGGCGGGGGGAGGGGGAGGGTGCTCCCGGTGATGATAACAGGAGCGAAGCTGCCTCCCTGCGCGTGCGCGTGGCCAGCTAAGTAATGCCCT